CTCCCTATCTTTGGTGGCAAGTTATCCGATTACAACAAATAGAAAAGTAAAACTAGGGTCTCAATATTGCTAATACTTAGAAACTATCTGCATAGTGCCACAGCAAAGTGACTGGATAGCTTGACTGGTATCCTGCTCAAGAGCAGTTTCTTCTCAAATGGGAAGAGGCATATCAAGGTCTTTATAAATAGTGAACAATAAATTTGGGCAGAACTTGCTGCCAAAACAAACCAAAACAAACAAATAAATTAAAACAATACTGCCAAGAAAAAAAAAGGAAAAATGAAGGTGAAAGATTTTTTTAAAAAAATAATAAACATCAGAGGATTGGGATTATGGTATTCAATTTATGATCATTCAAATTTCTTTTTCTTTTATTTATTTATTTAATAATGTTATTTTTTTACCTTTTAAGATGTTGCAGAACAGTTGGGGGAGAAGGGGAGGAGTAAGAAGTGGGGGATAGGGTGGAAGGAAGAGGAAGAGGGGCATAATCGAAGCCCGTGGCACCCCCTTCAATTCTGCAGGAGAGCCCAGGGGGCTTCTGGCAGTGATTGAGTCATGGCTGAGCTGGATGCGGACTTGGGGGGGCATGGATGAGGCCCTCAGCTCCCTACCACCCCAGCTCAGGGCTCAGTGGGCTTCTGGCAGTGGCTCAGTCATCACTGGGCTGGATGTGAGGTCAAAGGGCCTGGCTGAGGCCCTGGGCCACCCCCACCCTGGCTCAGGAGCCTATTCAAACTTCTTACTGGTGATGAAATTCTCATAATCCTCTGACTTTTCACAGAACCTTATTATAAAGTTTCCTATGGAGAATAGTCTCAGTGTGCCCCTCAGATCCACTATCAATCCTTGCACCCACTCTGTGCTCCAAGAGGCTGCTCTGCACAGGCCGCACCACAAGGCTTGCTTGCCCTCTGGGTTGCTGCTGGATCCCGCCAATGAGAGCCACCAACAGGACACAGACAATGGCTTAAACCTGCCCACACCTTTGTAAATAATTTCGTCATAGAATTTTCCTTCATTGTCCCTTCTGAGTGAGCCATCCGTTTCCTACAAGGATCCTGAGTGACACGATAAGGAAGAAATCAACTCACCAAAAAACCAGTCCTGCTAGTCCAGTGGCTAATAGGACATTCTCAATTTTTTTATTAGCATATTCATTGTTACAAATCATAGTTATTCTTTATGCCTTTTATCCAATCGCTCCCCTTCCCCCTCCGCCCCCTCTAATAACCATAGATTTGTTCTCTCCATCTGATAGATTAACTGTTCCTCTGCTGGTTTGTTGCCTAGATGATCTGTCCAGTACTGAGACAGGTGTGATCAAGTCCTCCCCTATTATCACAAATCAGATGCTCCTTCTATTATTCTGAAGTGTGCTTTGTGAAGAAAGAAGAACTCTTTTTTTTTTTTTTTTTAAATCTCTGCTGGTGCCTCTCCTTGTGTCAATGCAGTTGAGGTTTGGTATGCCATCCGCACAGTGGCTGTGACTGCTGCTATAGAGACTAGTCACTTTGGTGGCAGCCCTGGCAATTGCAGTGGCTATGGTAGGCTACCTGTGTGAAAATGGTGTTTGGGGTGTGCTCTTTACCTGGTTGCAGCTGATTCGTCTTCCCCCAGCTCCATACCTCAGGACCCCACTGGGAGGGTGGCGGAAGCTTGCCTAGTTGTGGCTGGGTTCAGCTTCCCCTGGCTCCATGCCTCATTCTAAAATGTTGTTGCAGAGCAGTTGTGGGGGAGAAGGAGAAGGGAAGGGGGAGGGAAAATAGGATGGGAAGACGGGGAAGGAGGGAGGGTGTAATCGAGGCCCATGGCCTCTCCTCATTTTGGCAGGGAGACCAGCTGGATGAAGATGTCACAGGGGTGTGGCTGAAGCCCTCAGCCCCCCACTGCCCTGGTTCAGGAGCCTGGGGTGCTTCCTGTGGCCGCTCGGTGGTCATCTCTGGGCTGGTTGCAGATGTCGGGCAAGTGTGGCTGAGGCCTTCAGCCCTCCCCGCTTCCTGTCCTTGGGCCCAGGGTCTTCTGTTCCTTCTAGGTTTTATAGGTGTTCTTTGGTGGTGTTAGACCTTTACTAGTTAATATCAAACTTTTGTCTCTGATCTGTGGGTATTTTGTTTTTTCTTTCAGTTCTGTGTTGGATTATTCACTGTTCCCACCACTTAAACTCTTTACTGGAACTAATTTGTTGTCTTTTGCTTACGTCTAAAATGGAGGAATTTCCTGTGGGGACCAGCACTCGAGCCCTGTAATTGAACTAAACTAAATTGCTTCATTGCTGATTCCCTGACTTTTTGTGCAGCTCAGGTTTTAATGGTTGACCTTGTATATACTTCTTGGTCTTGTGAGGTCTGGTACACCTGAGTTGTGTGGAAACTCTTGTCTGGGCCTGAGACTTTTCAGCAAACTGTACCCCCTGCAGATCTATATTCCTGACCAGTCTCCACTGAGTGGTCCTGTGCTGACTGGGGGGCAGATCAGCTGTGTATTCTGTGTCCCAGTGTTCCCCCAATGGGCCTGTCCCTCCCACCTCCCACACTCCAAACACTTCCATGGGACAGGAGTGTGCTGGTCCCTTGCGATGACTCACCAGCCTCTGAGTGGCTCCTTTTTTCTGTTGTCTTTGGCTCCTCAGTCCTATGTGGGTCCAGAGGAACACTGTCAGTGGTCTTGCTGGCCCGGGGCCCACCAAGGCCCTCTTCTCCCCTGCTGCCTCCAAGCAACTCATATGAAGGGCACAGCTTTTGCCAGCTCTTGCTCCATGTGCTCCACCAGCTCCAGCCTAGAAGCGACCAGGGCTCGAAATGGTGGGAGCAGTTCTTTCTTTCTCTCACTGTGGCTTCTACTGCCTTCATGAACTCCACAGGTCTCTTCTCTTCCTCTGAGCTCTAGCGGTCCGAGCGTGGCAGTCATTGCTTTTTAATAGTTGTAAATTGGTTGATTTGTGGAAGAGATTGACACTGGATACCATCTATTCTGCCATCTTGACTGGAAACTGTTGACATTCTCAATTTTGAAATTCTCTCTTTTGTACCAATTCATGTTTTCTTCCTCCTTAATTCAGATCAATGCTCATCTCCTTCAAAAGCCACTTCTAAATCAGCCACATGGGTCTACTTACTAAAAACAATGGACATCACTTCCCATCTCTGTCCATTACCCCACTTTTCTGCTTTTGATGTATTTACAAGCCATTTCTAGATTTACTGATGCTTGTTCTAGGCTGCTATTTTTTTTTTTTTAGTGTCTCCAATATGGAGATGATTTTTTATCTACTTTCTATAGAAATTCTGCAAACGTTTCTAGAGTTCTATGTTTCTTAAGCAATAGATATACAATCCTTGTTAATTATTTCACTCTTATAGAGAAGTGAGGAGACTATAGATACATTTCTCCAAAATGTCTTCCCAAACTACGCCTTCACTGTAAGCAATGTATTTGCAAATCAAATAATTTCTGTTTACTCCAGCTCTTCTCAATGCTAGTGGGCCCCAGGACTTAGTCTTTTGTCTACCTATACTCTTCCCTGGTAGTCCTCATCCACTTCTAGGTCTAACAGGCATTTTAATCAAACTTAACAGATCTAAGTCCAAACTTCTGATCACTCCCACTCCAAATATGTTAATGTTCCAGTCTTCCTCTTTCGTTTCTTAGGCCAAAAACTTAGGAATCATCCTTTACTTGCCTTTTTTTTCCAACCTACAAAAATCCTTCAGCCCTACATGAAAAATATACCTAGATTCCAACCATTTCTCACTGCTTCCTCTGCTACCTACCTCTCTGGTCTGAGGCACCCATCGCTTGTGGGGATCACTCCACTGACTCCTCACTGGTCTCCCCTGCCTCTGTCCTGGTCCTTCTAATAGTCTGTTCTCAGCAGAGCAGCTAGACTGCTTTCTTTTAAAACCATAGTCAGATCATGTCATTCCTCTGTTCAAACCTCTCCAATGGCTCCACTGTCACTCAGAGTAACACCCAGAGTCCATACATTGCCTACAAGGTCCTACATGATGTGACCTCTGCTCTCAGTCTGGCTGCATACCCTACTCCACTTCACACAAACCAGCCTCTGCTTTAGGATAATGTACCTGCAGCTCCCTCTTCCCCTGGGTATCCAAAGCTCATTCCTTCAATTCCTTCAAGACTCAGGTCAAATGTTACCTGCTCCTAGCACAACTCACTCTCCTAGAGCAGTGATCATCATTTGACATATTACACATTTCGCATGCTTATTTTGTTTATTGTTTGTCTTCTCCACAAGAATACAAATGTTGTATAAATGTAATATTTGTTAAATATTCTGTTTTATTCACTACATGTTCCCATCTCTTAAGCCTGTGCCTGGCATAAGGAAGGTGCACAACAAATATTTGATGAATGAATGAAAGTATATATTTTTTACTTTTTAAACATAAGTCCTTTCACAAAAATAAATAGGCATTCAAATATCTCAAATAAATTTGAAAGAAACTCATATGTATGGGGTGATCACTATGTGTTAGTCTCTGGGTAGCACTTTACAGGTACAATCTCAGGGAATGTTCATAACAGATCCCATGTGGTTGGTCTTATTAGATCCAACTTACAGATGAGATTTTATATAACTAGTTTAAGAAGTGAAAAATTCAGTACATGGGGATTATGGGTTCAAACCCTGAAATGTCTGGCTCTAGAGTCTGTTCTTTTTCTAATGTGACTAAATCATGCTTCTTTGAACTAAAAACAGAAACAAAAACCTAACTTAAAAAATACCACCAAACAAAAATAATAAAAAAGATGAAATCAAACCTTTGTTTAAAAGAGTACAGCTAAATGCCTGACTATGATTCCAAGTGTGTGAAAATTAGAAATTCTAGCTTTTCGAAGAAAAAACACTGAGTAGGCCAAGCAAAAGGCTGAGTGCAGATTAGAAAGGCAGACCTACACACTCAAGAGATTATGGCTAGAGAAACTGCTCTGAAAACTCCTTCTCTTCCTTTTTGCGGCCACCACCAAATCAGCAACAACCAAAACAAAGTCCAACCTTTTTGTGACTTCCGACTGGAGCAAGAATCATCAAAGGCATTTCAATGCACCTTCTCACATTCAAAGGAAGATTATGTCCTCCCTCTTTTCCAAAGAGCTGAGACAAAAATGCAATGTCCGATCTATGTCCATCCAAAAGGATGATGAAGTTCAGATTGTGTGAGGACTGTACAAAAGCCAGCAAACTGGCAAAACAGTCCAGGTCTACAGGAAGAAATATGTCATCTACATTGAACGGGTGCAGCAGGAGAAAGCTAATGGCACAACTGTCCATTTGGGCATTTGTCCCATCAGGGTGGTTATTACTGTGCTGATACTGGACAAAGACCATAAAAAAAACCCTTGAACATAAAGCCAAATCTCACCAAGTAGGAAAGGAAAAGAAGAAATATAAGGAAGAAATGATTCAGAAGATTCATGGAGTAATCTTATATACAATTTTTATTAAAAACTGCTAAATAAACAAAAAAAAAATCCTCAGCCCTATCCCTGTGGTCTACCTGCTGCCCCACACTCCCACCATCCAAAAGGTGGGAAATTGTTTCAAGTTCTTGTTCATTGATTTGATATTGCTATAGTTTGAATGTTCACATGTTGGAAACTTAATCCCCAGTGCAACAGTGTTGACAGGTAGAACCTTTAAGAAGTAGTTAGGTCATAAGGGCTCTGTTCCTATGAATGGATATGCCATTATTGCAGGAGTAGGTTAGTTATTGAGGGAGTGGGCTTCTAATAAAAAGTTAAGTTCAGATTGATTTCCTCTCTCTGTCTTGTGCACTCACTTGCCCTTCAGCCTTCTGCCATGGAATGATGCAACAAGAAGGCCCTCACCAGATGCAGGCACCTTAATATTGGACTTCCCAGCCTCTACACTATGATAAATAAATTTATTTTCTTTATAAATAACCCAGTGTCAAGTATTCTGTTATAACAGCAGAAATAGGACTAAAACAGATATCAACTGACAGCAGAAGACTGACGTAGTCAAAGACTTCCAGGAATAAAATTAGGGCCCTCTTTATTAAAGAGTTCTTCTGTCTTTGTCAACTATAAAACAGTAGAAAGGGTCTTCCTTTGCCCTTCTGCAGGCTATGTGAAAAAAACCTGTGCTTGGCTCTACTTCCGTTCTTCTCCAAGTCTTCTTTCATTTGAAAGATGCACTATATTTGAAAACTACTATGTTTTTAAAATAGTCCAAAAAAGAAAAAAAAAGAGGGTAAAAGTAATAGCACACTTCAGATACAAGGAAATGTTTTTGGGAAACATTTGCAAGCAGGTACCTGAAACTTTAAAACCACATCAATAAAAGAAGAGATTATATGAATGACTTTTGAATATTGAAACTTCAAGTATGTTGGCAAAGAAGAAGGCCTATAAAATAAGACAACACCCTTTCTAACATCCCCTAAGGTCTCTATTCCATAAACAGAGACTCTAAAAGAACATTTATGTAAGTAATTCCCTTTGGAGCCAACAGAAGTCTTCCATTGATGAGAGTATCCAATTGCCAGCATCTCTCAGATAACACAGAAAATAATAAGTACCTTAAGATTTCAATTCTTCGTGTTATTTGATCTGAAGATTTATTGGTTTTATTTCAGAAGTAATGTCTCAGAGAAAACTAAAATTTATATAAAACCTTGTGATTTTAAAAGCATTTTAAATCTTGGTTTTCTTTAGAGAATTTTGTGGAGACAAGTAAAATATTGAAATTTAACCATACCTGAAACAAGGCAATAAAGTTGAATTTACTAGAGCAAAATCAGGACTTCAGTGCCAATAGGTACAAATTTACATATACACTAATTTTGGTTTCTGTACCATACATCATTTATATTTATTGACACAAGTGCTCAATATGTGTGTTTATATTTTTTTCTAACAGTTAGAAACATGGCATAACCTGTGATGTACCTCAAATGAAAAGATTCTTTAACACACCAAATTTCATGCTGTAATGGCTAGCTCACTACTAAGACTTGGATGACAGCTGCAGCTCTCTGCAAACTAGCACTAAAAGGTGCTAATATCCTAGGAAGCATTTAAAGAATATCATTTGTCCCCATTTAATTTAAGGTAGAGCACCGTATAGAAAAGAAGCTGGCAGAAATTCAGTAAGTCTGTGTCTCCTAGCAAAAGACAGGTTGACGACTCCTCCAAAAGATAGCAAGATATTACTCAGAAGTCAAACATCTGCTTCTCCATTTGCTAAGAAAAATTATATTCTGTCATCAAATCCAATATTTGTTATTTTAAAAAATTACATGCCCATCACTAAGCGGCTAAGTTCACCTACATATTTGAACTACCATATCAAACAAACAAACAAAAAAAAAAAAACAGGCTTAGTCACAAAGTCAATGAAAGTCAAACAAAAGGCCAAACTAAACAGATGAGACAACATGCCCTGAAGATCAAGAAAAGAGATCACTGTTAGATGAGGAGGGTTTAGAAACTTCAGCAAGGAGTATTTGCCATGCCCATCACAAACACAAAGCAACTCACTTAAGCTACTTAAACACAATCATAATGCGAGACTGATGAATAGTTGGTTGCACACACTGGAGTTTTTCTCTACCATGTTGTACTAAAGTTGAACTCTATTGAGCCTTACATGAATATACCATAGTTTTGTTTTGTTTCGTTTTGAAATTGTTGGTAATAACAGTGGTAGTAAAAATAGAGAGCTTTGTATTAATTATTTCTTAAAGTAAAGAGAGGTGCTATATAACCGTAAGATGTGATAACAAGTATGTTGAGTGAGATTAAGATAAAAATATATTATTTCTATTTAAATACAATTTTCATCCTGGTATATCCCTCCTAAAATGATTCTACATCTTTTGAACACTGGGCATCACCAAAGATCTCGTATACAACCATATTTTCCCTTCCCGAGATTTCTCAGACAGTAACTCCATTCACTAAATTTTGTAAAGCACAATCTTTTCTCCCCACGGCATCCATTAAGATTTTTCCTTCCAGGCATTATAATTATATGCGCTAATCACTCCCCCCTTCCCTTATCTGTGGTTGTGCTTTCCGTGGTTTCAATTACCCACAGTCAACTGCAATCCAAAAATATTAAGGTATTTTGAGAGAGAGAGAGAGAGAGAGACCACATTCACATAACTTTTATTACAATGTATTGTAATAATTGTTCTACTTTATTATTAGTTGCTGTTAATCTCGTACTGTGCCTAATTTATACATTAAACTTTATCTTAGGTATGTACATTCAGGAAAAAAAACACAGTATGTATAGGGTTCAGTACTATCTTTGGTCTCAGGCATTTGCTGGGAGTCTTGGAACATAGCACCTGTGGATAATAAGGGACTATTGTACCTGGAAAACTCAAGAGACTCTACTGAAAACAATTTAGCAAAGTAGTGGGGCACAAAATTAACATAGATAAGTCGATCAATAAACAGTATTGATATATAATGGAAGAATGCACCCATGTGAATAGAAAAAAGGATAAAATATGCACGAATAAACTTCATAAGAAATGTTAAAACATTACTAGAGGACATACAAGGAATTTTGAGCAAAGGGAAGAGTTACCTAGTTGGTAGAATTAACATAAAAAAGAAGTCAGTTTTTTCCGAGCTAATTTGTCATTTCAACGTTAGCCCAATAGGAAAAATATTGACAGTGGGTTGTTTGAAAGTAGGCAAACTGATCAGAAAGCTTATATGAAAAAATAATTAACCAAAAACTCTGGAGAAAAAGATAAATGAGGAGCAATCAGCACTATCAGATATTAAAACATATTATCAGAGCCTGAATACTTAAAACAGTGTGGTATTGGTTCACCAATAAACCAACTGACCAATAGAACATTATTGAAAGTCTGGAAAGAGTTCCAAAAGCATACTGTAATTCACCATATGATAAAGATAGCATTTCAGATCAGTGGGGGAAGGATAACACTGCAATAAATGGTGATAGAGTATCCGAGGGAAAAGTTTTTTTTCTATTTAAATGAATACTTTATTTTATTATATATTTGTATTGTTTGTGGTTTGACTTTTGTATATTCATCTTGTGCCCTACAACTTTGCTAAATAGTTTTTTAGTTGAATATCTTTAGTTTTCCAGGTATATAATTATAATATCTAGCAGGAAGAATTCTAATAGATGCTGTAAAGGAGAATACTTTAATAAAAGCAGAATATGGCCGGCCCAGTGGCACACTGGAGAGTGCGCCGCTTGGGAGCACGGCGGCGCTCCGGCCGAGAGTTCGGATCCCATGTGGAGACCAGTTCCCGCTCACTGGCTGAGCGTGGTGCGGGCGCAACACCGAAGGTTGTGATCCCGTTGCCGGTCCCCGGTACGGGCGCGACACCGAGGGTTGCGATCCCGTTACCGGTCAGTAAAAAAGACAAAAAGGAAAAAAAATAAAAATAAAAAAATAAAAGCAGAATAAATTTCAAATGAATCCAAGATTTACATATAAAATACCTAGTATACACAAATATTGCAGGAAAGCACATGAATTTTCCTTTAACATTGCAGTGAAAAGACCTTTATATTTACAACTCAAAATTCAGAATCCATAAAATGAAAAAAATAATAAATTTAACAACATAAAATAACTACAAAGTCAAAAGATAAGTGACAAACTGAAAAACTCATATTATAGACAAATACTAATCTCCCTAATATATGAAGAGCTACTAAAAACCAATAAAAGACCACATAATAGAAAAATGAGCAAAAATATATACATTCAAGTCACAGAAAGAAAATCCAAATGGCATATAAACATAAATAGATGATCAAGTTCACTTAAAATAAGAGGAATGCATGTCAAAACTACACCAAGAAACCATTTTTCAGATTGGTAATGGTCTAAAAACTTGATTACACATTTTATTGCTTGTAGGCAAACAGGCCCTCTCCTACATTAAGGGAGAGTCGAAATTAGTTCTACTCTGATGGAAGGAAATTTTGCAACATTTATCAAAACAAAAGTGCACGTACCCATTGGCTCACAACTGCACTTCTAAGAATTTATACTATAAACACACCTGCTGCTATGGTTTGAAGTTCCCCTCCAAAACTCATGTTGAAATTTAATTACCATTCTAACAGTGTTAAGAGGCGGAATCTTTAAGAGGTAAATAGGTCAGGAGGGCTCTGTCCTCATGAATGGATTAATGCTGTTATCACAGGAGTGGCTTAGTTATTGTGGGAGTGGGTCCCTGACAAAAGATGAGTTTGCCCCAGTTTCCTCTCTCTGTCTCTTGTTCTCGCTTACTCTTCCACCTTTGGCCATCGGATGTCACACCATGAAGGCCCTCGCCAGATGACAGTGCCATGCTCTTGGACTTCTCAGCCTCCAGCCCATGAGCCAAATAAAATTCCATGGTTCATAAATTACATAGTATGTAGTATTCTCTAATAGCAGCAGAAAAC